TTCTCTCACACAAATAACTTTCTTTACAGATTTTAAGATGAACATTTTGTTTGTACAAAGAATTTTCTTTGCATCCATCTTGGTTCAAAGCTATGTTCAATACAAAACACACCTGTCAAGTACCTACTGTATACAAAACACTGTGCTAGATGATGAAGACAGTCTATGTCTTGAAAAAGTTTCAGTCTTAGGTTGACAATTGCGCCAAAAAGGCAGACTCTAGTGTTATAATGGTTTAAAGGAGAGACAAGTCCCATCTAGATGGAAAGGAAAGTTTCACAAAGAAAGTTCCATATCACATGGCCCTGAACATGGGTAAGAACCAACAATTAGAGATTCAAGGGGGTCATTTAAGATAGAAAAAGCAACATAAGCAAAGATATGGAGCACAAACAGCAAAGCACAAAGAGCAAATAGTTCTTCTGACCTGGAAAATAGTAAAATCTAAGGGAATGGCAAGAAATGAGTTTACCCATAGTGTCTCTGCCAGGCTGATCTGTGCTAAATTCAACAGACAACGGGGACCTGTTAAAAGTCTTGACTGGGTAAGTGAGATAAGAAAAAAAAATATTGGGGGGGTTTCCGCAATAATTCAAGGGCATGGTATCAATGACCCCAAATAAGCCTGATGACAGTAGAAATGGAAAGCAGCAGATGCCAAAAATAGTGCAGAGGTCTAACAGCAAGACCTGGCAACCAAGTGAACACAGGGGAGAGAAGGAAGGCAAGAGGGCATCTCGAGGTGCAGATCCTGAGTAGCCACAAGGACTGTCAGTCCACGCAGCTGAGATTAATCAGAAAAGTAACAAGAACCAACAAAGTGCTACTGTATATTTTTCTAATGGCTAGCTGAAGTAAATGCTACTACCTGTTCATCCTTTGCTCTGCCTAAGACAGTTACTTCTCCACTTTTTTTTTTTTAAGATTTTATTTATTTATTTGACAGAGACAAAGTGAGAGAAGGAACACAAGCAGGGGGAGTGGGAGAGGGAGAAGCAGGCTTCCCGCGGAGCAGG